GGTCAGCCTTCACTCCCCACACGCATCAATGAGCCTCGACCACTCATGACCCTGTCTCTGGTTCTTTTCCTTTCTTGGAGCACTTTTCATAGATACTGACCTCTGCAGACCGGATCACCCCACAGGAGCTGCAGGTTTAGAGATACTCTGATCCAGTCGTCTACCCATCACAATGTGGCCCTTGTCAAAGTCGCTCAAATCCTCTCGCTGCACATTGTTCCTGCTTCTAACACATCAACTTTGAGGATAAAATGTTCACTTGCTGCTTAATATATCCAACCTACTGACAGGTGCAATGATAACAAGATAATCAGTGTTATTCACTTCACAGTGGTCAGTGGTCATAATGTTATGGCTGATCGGTGTATATTTCCTCTGTTTTGACAACACAAGGTGAATTAATAATTTTATCAGTGTCGAGGTTTTAAAAAACGTGCGCTTTGCATAAGCTTGAATTATACATACTGATAAACATCGAGCGCTGTACCAGAAGCATCACATCGTACATGTGTTTTTTTCTGATCATAATTCGTATAAGATCTAATTTTATTTGATTCAAAATAGATTAAACTGATGATACTGCCAAAACCAAATGTTACAGACTCTCCAGTGAGCACCAAAGCTGTAGCAGCATTTGGCAGGTGGGTGGTGTTAATTCATCACCCCGACTGTAGATCACACAGAATTAAATTGATGTAAAGCCTTCAAAGCCCTCGTGTTTGTGTTTCTATTCTCTAGACCTTCACATCAACAGATTTTAATCCCATTTGCTGGCAACGTGTTTTAAATACGGGTTTTCTTTTGTAATAATTCCCAGCTTGTGTCTTTAGGTACATTTGCTCAAGGGCACTTTAACAATGTTCAAACCCTGATGGGATTTGAGCCAGCAGCAACGGATTAGGCTTGAGACAACTTCCTGACGTCCAACAATGTGTCTGTTTGTTATTTCACATTTTATAGTGACACGCAACTACCTGAATGATGCAAAGAAGTGCAGGTTCAGTATTATTTTGGTTATTTTTTGTTACCAATCATGCCATGGGGAAAAAGCCTCCCTCATATCTGCAATATATAAAATCTTGAATATATAATAAAAAACATATATATATAAATAAATTCAACATTCAACATCTCAACTGTTGTCAACCTGAGCCGAGCTCCTCTGAGACCACAACAGATTTAAACTGTGATATTTTCCCTCCAGTGACGTCCTCTGAAGCGTACCCGCCGCCTTCGAACACGCTTCATACTGTAGTCATGCGTCCTCTACTGTGAATAAGACAAACTATCATCCTGGACAACATCAGGAACAATGTGAGATGTGACACAACATCTAAGAGGCGCATGAACTAAAGGACACACGAGATGCATTCAGGGACACAAGGGCAATGATAATGGTGAATAATCAACAGCAGTCCTATGAGTTTAGGATCATCGGGCTTCGTTTACCCACTGGTTTAGGCTGATTACTCGTATAGCTCGCCAAAGGCTTTGAGCAACACATATTTTTACCATTTTAATTTAAAGTGTACATTGTCTTACAATTAATGCTAGCTGTAAGCAGGAAGCAGGAGTGTTTAATAGTGTAATTTACAGAGAGGTCACTGCTGGAGCTGTGACAAACAAGACATGACATGGGGGGTTTAAATAATTTACTAAAACAGGGCTGGGTGTTTAAAACTTGCTGACATACAGGGAGGTATTAATCTATAGCATCAAACTAAAGAGGAGTTCAGTTAAATGAGGATATGATTTAACTTAGGGTGTAAACAATAGTTATTAGTTATACACATTGTTGGGCTTGTTACTCAAAGCATGTCATTTAATACTCATTACTCTTTTCAAAAGTAATATTATTCATTTACTTGTTACTCCCTGCTAACAGTAATTAGTTAACTTACACTACTTATATTACTGTCCCTTCTATCTCTTCCAATTTTGTTTGTTAAAATCAAAGTAATTAAATATTTTCAGCTGCTGAATATACGAGTTTCCATCTTCTAAACTAGTTTCTTCCACAATTACAAAAAGTATTCATAGGATGTGTTTGGATTGATGGACTTCAAATTAGTAAGGAGGTGACAACAGAAGTAATGTTGTAGCTAACTAATTATTATTTTATTTTTATTTTGGGGTTTTGGGTTAATCATTTTTCTACAGTAACATAATTACTGAAATGTATTAGTAATTAAAGTTAGTTACACTACTAAGAGTTAGTTACTGGGGAAAGTATTATTATTACTTTAATATTATACAGTTACTGTCCAACAATGGTCATTAGCGGTAATTTTCCCTATTATGGTCATTGTTGGCTCCGGGCTGTCACTGTTTAACAATAATTGTTACCGCTGTTCTTTAATTAAAACTAATAATAATAATATTAATAATAAAGTGAGTCGACAGTA